GCCTTTAATTTTGGCGGGGGGACACCAGATTGGCAGTTTTGTGGCTTAGTTGGGGGAGAGCAGGGCCTTTGACCCCAGACCTTGAAAACACTTACTGCCTCTTGGAGCCTCACATCTATCCAGAGCTGTGGGCCTTTACCTGTGAGTCACGGTCCCCGGGACGGGCGAGCTTAGTTAGATTTTGGCCCTTAGTCACCCCCACCAGCCTTCTTGCTTTGGGGAGAGGTCTCCTTAGGAACATCCTCTGGATGAGGTTGGCGACTGACATTTCAGTCCGGATCCCACACTAGTGGTGGGACTTGACTAGTCACTGGCTGCCCACTGCGGCCCCTGAGCGCCAGTCTGTCCTCTGTAAAATGGGCTCAGTGCCTCCTTTGCCAGGTAGTTGGAAGGGTCACTGACATATGTGGAAAGCACCCAGGCAGCCATTCGGGCGTTTCATGTTTAGTGAACTTCCCTTCCCTCCTCTCCAGCCCGTTGAGAAGAAAGCCGTCTGCGTGCCCAAGGCCCCGGCCACGCTTCCTGACGTGGCCTTAGGGGTGATTGCTTTCTCTTGGCTGCTGGTGGGGAACCGGTGGCGTGGGGAAGAAGACCCTGAGGGTGGTGCCAGGTCGGGTCCCGGGCATGTGCGGGTCAGAGCCCTTGACTGGAGGGGGGTCATCTTTGCTGGTGGTGTAATAGCGGAGTTAATCCAGGTCTCGGCTGTGGGACAGAGGGTGCCCTGAAAAGCCCTGTGGTAAACGTAAGCTCCTGTTACGAAGTCGCTCAGCGAGTAGCCTGCCTGAGGTCACCCAGCAAGCAAGTGCCAGAGCTGGGATTTGAGTCTTGGTCTTTCTCGATTCCAAAGCCTCCCTCTTTTCGTTGCCCTGTTGTCCTCGCTGATGTCCAGTGATGTTAGTTCTCGTCCCGCTGGCCCCCAGCGCCTCTTGCTCTCGCGACTACCCTCCTGGGTCCTGCCCCACCTCTGCAAGACAGGGGGTGGGGGGAATTCCTCAGAATCTGGGCGTCTTCCCCAGGGTGTGGACTCAGGGTGGAGGCGCCAGCTGCTAATTGTCTGCAGGCATGTAAGCATGAGCAAAAACTGACCGCCAGCAGCTTGAAAATGGATCCCCCTCAACAGAGAGGGAGCCCTGATGACTGTGTGGTTTCTGAATGCATGCTTTATTTATCTTGGGCTTGGAAACGTACCTTGAGAAATTCTGTCTTGAGACTAGGGTTGGGGAGGAGGTGGAATGTTTGCAATCATAAATCTTGCATCTAAATTGCAGTCCATTAACAGACTTCCTCCAGCCTGACAGCACGTGGACTGAGCTGGGGGCAAAGGTTTGGGGGCATTTTTCCCCTGCCACACCCTGAGGAGTGAGAGGGCCGGCCCTGGCACCACACCCTCCCTGCTCAGCCGTGCTCACCACCAACTTCATTGCAGCAACAGCAGCTCCAGGCGCAGCACCTCTCCCACGCCACGCACGGCCCCCCGGTCCAGCTGCCGCCCCACCCGTCAGGCCTCCAGCCTCCAGGGATCCCCCCAGTGACGGGGAGCAGCTCAGGGCTGCTGGCGCTTGGTGCCCTGGGCAGCCAGGCCCACCTGTCAGTGAAGGACGAGAAGAACCACCATGAGCTGGACCACAGAGGTGCGCCCAGGGGGCTGGGGTGAGGGGGCAGAGGGCAGGGTGGGGGGGTCCTGGAGGCCCTGCTGTGAGTGCACACTGCAGATGCTGACACCCGAGGACCAGGAGTTAGCAGAAGACTTGGCACCATCTGTTAAGTTCCTGGGGCATGGAAACCAGAGCCCCGAGTTCGTCCGTGCCCACCCCCCAACCCCTAATGTGTACCCATGTCCCCTGCCTGGGACCATTCATCCCAGAGGACCTTCCCGTCTTGCCCAGCTGCACCCTGCCCATCCTTCCAGGGCCAGCCCCGGCCCCGCTTCCTCAGGAGGCCTTCCTGGCCAGGCTGGGGCCCTTTTCAAGTTCCGTAAGAATTTAAGTCCCAAGATGGGGCCTTTTGTTACTGTCCTCTTGTGTCCTGCCCTGGAAAATGTTTTATCCTCAGGATCATTAGTCCCTGAGGCCAGAGGCCAGGTTCCTGGGGGTTTACCTTAGCATCTGTGTCTCAGCCACACAGGGTCCTTGGAAAAGGTGCCCAGTTGGCACTCAAGTAAAGGCTTGTCAGTGGACTGTTTGAGTGGGGGGTAGGAATCACGAACTGCAGGGAGAGGACGGTAAAGACTGGGAATGGGCGCCCCCCCGACCCTTCACCCGGCCCTGACCACGAGGACCCAGGAAGCTGCTCTCAGCAGGAAAGGGAAGGACCTGGCTTCCTGGCAGACCCTTTGCAAAAATTGCCGCCTTGTGTGATCGGCCCTTAGATTTGTGTTTCCAGCTTTATTGAGATGTAATTGACATATACCGTCGTGTAAGTTTAAGGTGCACAACGTGATGATCTGATTCGTCCTTAGATACTGACTAGGCACATGGCCAATGCCTGTGAGCCCGCCCTGGGCGCCGAGGGCCTGGAGTGTCACCATCCTGCCGGGGCTGGGCTATGGGGCAGTAGGAGGTCGTAGGAACTGGAGGCTGAATTTTCTGTCCCGCAGTAGGATGGTCCTCTTCCTCTGCCAAGAGGACCTCCCCACAGCAGATAGGAGAGTCCGGGGGCGAGTCTTGGCTGGGGGGATAATCAGAGACCTCAACTTCCAGGGACTTCTTGGCAAAGAAGTAGAATGGTGTTCGTTTAAAAAGCACCACCAACCAAAAAAAAAAACCGAAATAAACAATAGTGTTCTCAGCTCCCAGATCCCCCGGGTATGTTGCATGGCACGGTCCTTCCCAAGCTTGGTGGCTTTAAAACCCACTGACCAATAACCTTGCTGGCCTTCTCGGTACGTCAGGGCGAGCTGGGCCACAGCTTCCCCAACCCCGCCGCACCCAGGACTGGGGGCCGTGCGAAGCATTGGAACTGGGGCTGTTAACTTCCAGGCTGAGCTGTCACTTGATGGCCCTGCCTTGGCTGACCTGCAGCGACTCAAAGGCCTGCTGCCCACTTTGAAACCCGTGAACTAGCGGAGCTGTAAAAGCCCCCTGGAGGAGACTGACCTTTCTTTCTTTCTTTCTTGTTTTTCCGTCTTGGGGGACCTGACCCGCCTCCTGGCCTGGCCTTCTGTCCCCAAAGAAAGAGAATCCAGCGCGGTAAGTGCCAGCATTCTGGAGCCTGTGGGGTGTGGTTGGGGTGCTGGGAGGAGGGTGGGTACCGTGTGGGATCCTGGGAGGCGGGGAGGGGTGTCACGAAGCAGGAGTTGTCAGCTGCTGAGTGACCTTCGCTCGAGGGAGCCTTTATCTCCGCAGGCTGCAGGTCCACCGTTTGTCAGATGAAGAGCTGGGCTGAGTGAGCTCTGACCCCCTTTACACGAGGGTGATTGCTGGAGAGGTCAGCCGGCCAGCCCTGAGGCTGCCAAGGAGGGTCGTGGGGTCACGGGGCTGAGCCCAGAGCTCAGGCCCCAGGTGTCCCTCGTTCGTTCGGGGCTGGAGTGCTTCCCTGCCCCCCAGGGTGGCTGCCCCCACGTGATCCTGTGTCCTCCTCGTTTCCTCTCCCTGTTCCAGGCTTTCACTCGGTTTAAGAAAGTGTTAGCGAGCGAGCATTGAGGCCAGGCTGCCTGCGTGTCTGCCAGCTCTGAGATTTGTTGTAAATCTTTCTGATCACACTGAGGCTCAGAGGTTCTGTTTCAAGCGAATAAGCCTTCTGAATCAGCGCAGTGGAGTCTGGATAAAAGAAATCCTCCAGCGATTAGCAAAGCTATTTTATTCCTCGTCGCCGTCCTTGTGTCGGGGGCCGTCTAATCTGTCAGGTTGGCTTTGGTTATTACCTCATGTTAAGTAGGACTCAGAAGGTCAGGCAGTTAACTAACCATCTAGACGGCAAGTCCTCGGGCGGCTCCTCCATCCCGACCCACCTCCCCTTCCCAGCCCTCCACCCAGCCGACGTCGGAGTCCCCACCAGCAGCAGTGCTCACGTGGCCTCTCGACTCCTGCGAGCTCGGAGATCCAGGTTGTTTGGGCCCAGGAGTGGCTCCGTATGTAGGGAAGGGAAGGGCTGAAGCTGAAAATCCACTTTGATTGCTTCAGCGTTGATCCTCCCAGTGGGCAGTATTTTTGGAGGAGCCGTTTGCCTGACAGGAGAGGGGCTGGGCTGGACACCGAAGCTCAGTCTGGTCCCAGCATCGTGGGACACTGGGTGGTATGCTTGGCTTCCCCGAGCCTGTTTCTCTGTCTGTAACACGGGCATATTCCCGCCCAGCCAGCCTCTCCGCTTAGCTAGGAAGACGGCCTCAGAACAGGACCTGGGATCTGGAAGCTTATGGGCTTAACAGGGCCCCGCTGCAGGGGGAAGTGGGAATTTGAAGCCCACCCTTTCCCTGCCTTCCCACGCCCTCGTCCTCCCCGCTCTGGCCTCGTAGCTGTCTGTGAGCACTTGCTGCTGAAAGAAGCCCTCGAGGAGCCCCCCAAGAGCGGGCTCTTCACTCCCTGGTGCTCACCCACGTCCAGAGCAGAGAGGCCACTGGGGACTCCCACAGAATGAATGAGGACGCTGCCCTGGGCCCGGTGGGCTTCTCTGGGGAGAGGCAGGAGGGGCTCGCACGTGTGCACGCGGCCTCGTGTTGGAGGGAGTGTAGACTCACATCATCAGCCCTTTGGAAACCAGGTTGTCAACAGATGCGGCCCCGGCAGGAAAGGCAGGGCCGTGTTGGCGCGGGAGGGGGGCGGCTGGACGGGCTGGACGCCGTCCCAGCGGGGTTAGCGTGCAGCCCAATTAGAGGCAGCCTCATTCATGTTGCCTAGCCTAGCCGAGGCAATGAAAAACACTTAGTCCCTTGGCCGCCTGCCAGCAGAGGCGGGCTGGATCGATGCCGCTGAACGCCTGACACGGCCCCCCCACCCCCCACCCTCGGCAGCGGGAGCGGGGGGCGGGGGCTTTCAGCCCGACTCTGGGAGAAGAGAGAGCCCGCTGTCTGCGCGCCACAGCCCGGTCGGCAGGGAGGAGCCTGGGCGGCCGCCCGCCCCCGGGGCTCAGGCGCTGGGAGCGCTTCTGCTTAGCGCGGGGCGGCCACCGTCGCAGGAGATGGGGTGAAGTGGTGGTGATTTTTCTGCCGGTGCCCGTCCGTCCGCAGCGGCTAATTGAACCGCGGCTGTGCGGCATCACCGCGCCTGCCCGGCTACGGGGCCAGCTGAGCTGCAGCTCCGCTCTAACCTCCATATTTTCTTCAAGGCTTGATAACTCTGCCATTTCAATTTGCTTCAGGCAGAAACTTGGCAGGGAAGGGCTGCCCAGAAGCTGGCTTAGGGGAGGAAATGAAGTTCTGCGGCTGGTTCCCACCCCGCCCCGCCCCCCAGACGCAGGCCCTGGCCTCCTGGGAAGTGGCAGATGCTCCACCTGCTTCCTGATGCCCCCTTCTGATCAGAGGGTCCCCTGGGTCCCCACGTGGCCTCCTCATGCCCCTCGGGGGAGGGCGACGGGGAGGTGGGGTGAGCTGGCCTTCCGCTTCCCTCTGGCTGGACTGGGAGCTCCTGGAGGGCAGGGCCTGTGCCGCATGCATTCCTCCTTGCCTGGAGTCCAGCCCCGGCCTGCTTCAGGGCAGGTGCCCAGGAGAGGGTGGGCGAGGGCTGAGAGACAGGAGGAAGGTGTCTTGTGGCTGGTCCCTTAGGAAGGGGTAAACCCTCAGAGGCCCCTAGAGGGGCATCAGTTCTGATGCTGCCCTCCTGGCATGGGGTGTGCTGGCAGGGACCCAGTCTGGCGCTGACGGCCTTGTGATGCGCGCCGCTCCTGCTCACCCCTCGCTCCACGGGCCAGCGGGTCTCCGTCTGGGGCTGCCTCTCACCTTCCAGGACAGCTCCGTCCCCAGGCCCCAAAGTCCAACTCCTCGTCCTTACGTGCCTTATAATTGTAGGGGATCCCATCAGCGCTTCCAGGCCGAAAACACTTGGGTTTCCTTCATGTTGCCTCCTTCCAGGGGCCTTGGGCACGCCGCCCTCCGTCCTGGGTCCCCTGCTTCCCGTCACTACAAAGGGGGGATTCCATCTCACGTCTTTTCGTTTCTTAGACGGGAAAGGCTCCGCAACATGGCGTGTTTAGGCTTCTCTGTAACCTTACTGTTACCCTAAGATTGTGGGAAGCCGCACTGGAGTAGCAGGATGTTTGCACAGCATCCACGTTCCCCCCTACGCTTGGGAGGCCTGTCGGCAGCCCCGCGCTCTCCCTCCATACCAGTCTCCCTGCCCCTGTCGGGTCCAGCAGATGAAGCATCGCTTGTGGCCGGCCTGTGGGCTCAGATCCATCTCTCAGGACTCAGTGCAGATTCAGCTTATCCATTCTTCGAGCAAACGTGTGGAGGCACCGATGGGTGATGGAGGAGACAGGCATGACCCCCGCCCTCGTGACGTGTGTACCCCAC